GAATCTCCGAACCAATGCTACTTTTAGGTTCCTAGTTCCTCCAATACTAAGTGGTGACTCCAAAACTCGTAAATAATTTTGTAATTAATTAATGCCCGAACATTTAATTTTCTTTTGAGGGGTCTCGTCCGACGTCGTATAGCGACATGTATTTGTCTCAAGTATTGTGCTTCTTATCTCATATCTCGGAGTATGATATTCTTAGTAACGTGGAGTTATTCAGGCTATGTTCAACTGGTTTGAAGGAATTTTAAATTTAGAGTCCTATTGGGGAGTGATTCCACATAAAGACTTAGTGTTTATATTAGACTAGAATTTGAATAGTGCACTATTTCATCGCATATCAAAATCAATACCATACAAGTCAAATTCCGAGCAAGAAAAATGGGATGTGGAGTCGAGTATAGTGGGGATTTTAAGAATTTGTACAAGCAAATCATGTGGCACCCCTTAATCAAAGAAAGAAAACCAAAGCTTGTGTTTATTTTCTATTGAAGTCAGCTTCCCGGTATCCAACACTAGCGGGGGACTTTAAAATTTTTAAAATTAAAATAATAAAAGTTGAAATCGGGGAGCGTAAAAAATTAGAAGAAAAGTACGGTACGTCATTCATGTTTCAAGATACCAATAGTGCCTGTTTAAACCAGTTAATGTGCTTATGAAACTTTATATTGAAATTATATATTTTAAGAATTTGTAAAACACAAAATTACCTTATCAAGTCACACACCCCCCCCCCCCCCCCCCCCCCCGGCGAAGGAAAATTTACCATATTTGTTACTTCAATAATCAACACCTTTTAATAAATTTAATGAAAATGTCGAGCAATATTAATTTTCTTGAAAAAATCTTTCCGAAAGTTACTTTTGGAAAAATCTTCTACTCCATTTTTTTTTATTAGCTCTTGTCTGTAATGCTACATAAAAAAAAAAAATTTACTTTGCAACTTTACTATGCTACATAATTTACATATTTCTACAATTAAAGTTTTTGTTATTAATTTTGATAATTTTAACAAGTTGATCAGACAAGTTTTTTTTTTTTTTTTTTGACTTTTTAAATATAAACTTTGAGGTTAGCAGTCAAAGGATTATTAAACTCTGAATGCACATCTCCAATATTAATTATGAACCTTTACAATAGTTCGGTAAGAAGTTTAGTATTTACTAAGGTGTAAATTGATCTAAAAATACTATTATTATCAAATAAAAAATTATTAACTTTGATAAATAATATGAAATAGTAATTCAATAATATTTGGAAATAAATGCTTAGCATTACTCCATTCCAATAACTTCAATTAAATTTTGAGCTGTCATTTTATTTTATTCACTGCATACAGGACATAATAAATATCTAAATTGTTGAATGAAAATCCAATGAAGTTGTATCTATCTCTTTTTATCTCGGTTTTTTTTTTCAATGATAAAAATATTTTGGAATAGTTTATGTATTAATCAAAACCAAATGACTTTGGTGCGATCTTGACAGCATACCATTTGCATCAATATTATAACATTAAGATAAATTTAATAAATTCTTTTAAATTCTAGTTTTAAGGTTTTAATCTAGAAAATTAAGAAAGGTAACAAAAATTTTTGTAGCAACCGTACCAATCCCTTGGTCTTGCCATTATAAAACAAGAGAAAAACAAACAAAATGTTTAAAACCTCACTCTGTTTTTTTTTTTCCTCTAAAATTATTACTATTATTAAAAAAACTAAAATAAAACATGATTTTACTTACTATTTAAAAATACTATTCACATACTCATTAATCGCTATTCCTTTCACTATTCATGTCATTTTTTTAACACTTTGATCCTCAATTTTTCTATACTTTTTTTTTCAATTTCAAACTTTAATGGTATTGTAATTTAGTCTCATTTTGTTTTTGCATTTTTTTATTTTAATTATTTAAAATTTACTACTTTAATTTATCATTCTTTAATATAGTCATATGTTATTAATAAATTCTTTTAAATTCTAGTTTTAAGGTTTTAATCTAGAAAATTAAGAAAGGTAAAAAAAAACTTTTTTAGCAACCGTACCAATCCCTTGTTCTTGCCATTATAAAACGAGAGAAAAACAAACAAAATGTTTAAAACCTCAATCTGTTTTTTTCCCCCTCTAAAATTATTATTATTATTAAAAAACTAAAGTAAAACATGATTTTACTTACTATTTAAAAATACTATTCACCTACTCATAAATCACTATTCCTTTCACTATTTATGTCATTTTTTTAACACTTTGGTTCTCAATTTTTCTATACTTATTATTTTTTTTTCAATTTCAAACTTTAATGGTATTGTAATTTGGTCTCATTTTGTTTTAGTGTTTTTTTTAATTATTTTAATTATTTAAAATTTACTACTTTAATTTATCATTCTTTAATATAGTCATATGTTATTAATATTATGATAATATTATAATAATATTATTTTTCTACACTACGTGTTTACTATTTATTTATTTATTTTTTGAATTAAATAATTAAAATTAATATTTTTGTTTAACCACTCAATGATTCAAATTAATATAGTTTTTTATTTTAATATTATTTATTCTTTTGTAAATAAATATATAAAAATTAAATTCATATTTTTTCAAAAATCGATATTCTCATCAACATTAAATAAAAAATTATTTTTTTAAATCTATGTAAGCTTTTAATAATTGTTATTAAAATTTTAAACTTTAATTATATTGTGATTTAGTCTAATTTTGTTTTAGTGTTTTCTTTTAATTATTTTTATTATTTAAAATTTACTACTTTAATTTGTCATTTTTTTTTAATATAGTCATATGTTATTAATATTATGATCATATAATAATAGTAATAATATTTTTCTACACCGAGTATTTACTACTTATTTATTTATTTTTGAATTAAATAATTAAAATAATGTTTTGACTTAACCACTCAATGATTCAAATTAATATAGTTTTTTTATTTTAACATTATTAATTCTTTTGTAAATAAATATATAAAAATTAAATTCACATTTTTTCAAAAATCAATATTCTCATCAACATTAAATAAATTTTTTTAATTTTATGTAAGTTTTTAATAATCGTTATTTATGTTTTTTTGACACAATCTTATGGAATACTAAAGCTTTTTCAAAAAAATTTATTTAATTTTCCTTTTAGTAAATAATCCATGGATTAATAAGGATAAATCTTTTTTTCTAAAGGAAAAATTATGAAAATCATAAATAAGAAATAATTAAATACAAAAATTTTGATTAAAAAATTATAAATAATTTTTTTCACTTTTGATTTCATATATTTTTTTTAACGATTTTATATATTTTATTCGATTCGCGAGTGTAGTACTGGCAAAAAAATTGGTACATAAAGCTAAAGTAAAACATGATTTTATTATTTATTTTCATTATTTGAAACACTGTTTACACACTCATAAATCACTATTCTTTTCACTATTCATATCATTTTTTAGCATTTTGGTCCTTAATTTTTCTATGCTTTTTTTTTCAATTTCAAACTTTAATTGTATTGTGATTTGGTCCTATTTTATTTTAGTGTTTTATTTTAATTATTTTTATTATTTAAAATTTACTAGTTTAATTTATCATTTTTTTCAATATATTCCTATATTATTAATATTATGATCATATAATAATAATAATATTTTTTTATGCTAAATTTTACTATTTATTTATTTATTTTTGAATTAAATAATTAAAATAATATTTTGGCTTAACCACTCAATGATTCAAATTGATATAGTTTTTTATTTTAATATTATTCATTCTTTTGTAAATAAATATATAAAAATTAAATTCATATTTTTTCAAAAACCGATATTCTCATCAATATTAAATAAAAAAAGTATTTGTTCAATTCCATGTAAGCTTTTAATAATTGTTATTTATGTTTTTCAACACGATATTATGAAATGCTAAAACCTTTTTTTAAAAAAATATTTAATTTTCTTTTTAGTTAATAATCCATGGATTAAAAAGAATAAATCCTTTTTCTAAATGAAAAAATTATGAAAAACACAAATAAAAAATAATTAAATACAAAATTTTTTATTAAAAAATTATAAATAATTTTTTTATTTTTTATTTTATATATTTTTATTGATTTACGACATAAAATAGACTATTATACTAAAATTAATTTTTAAATAATTTTATATTTTATATTTAATCAATAATACAAGGTGGGTAAAAAAAAACTAGTTTTAGGACTAAAAGAAAAACCACCTTAAATCCTATATAGACTCTAGCCATGTCTGAAGCTGGATCTGCGGTCTTTTTTTTTGTCTTTCTCGTTTCTGTATTTTTCTCTCTTGCTGTCTTGTCAAAATGCATGAAGCCAAATAACAAAATAACCAGCCCCATCTACATGTACTACTACATAAAGAAGTGAGCATTTCATAAAGGCCGTTTTATGTTTTTCCAGAGAGAGATGAAGACAAACTTTCTGGAGAGAGGGGTGCCTGGGTCAACTGTGATATGCAACTGAGAAAACGCCATTCACTAATGGTGGGGTTTTGGCCTTTTCTCTAGGCAAAACGGGTAAAGGAAGGAACGAGCTTTGAATTTTTTGTGTATCGGTAGAGAATTCAAAGTTTGGAGTCAATTGTAAGAGAGATTTCAGGTTTTGGGACATAACCCACTTCTGCATTTACGATATTTTTGTAGGTGTGTTTGTTTATACAGTCTAAAGATGTGAACTTGGCTCTTGTATATCAATGCTTTTTGAGTTGGAAAATAAAGGGGATCAAAATCTAGGATTTTGTGTTCGTATTTGTATACCATGTATTTGCATGATTATAGGAGAAGGATGGGGTAAAGTTGTGTTTTTTGCGGTTTTAAAGAAAGGTTTTGCGTTCTTGGCAACAGATTTGCTTGCTTGCTTTTGTTGATTTACAACTAAGAGAGGGATTTTAGGGGTTCTAAAATTTAAAACAAAGATTTGTGTGTCTGAGTAGGATTGCTTTCAATGGGAGAAGATAATCAAGAAATGAGATCGTTGGCCTTAACTCCAACATGGTCAGTTGCAACTGTGTTGACAATCTTTGTCGTTGTTTCTTTGATCGTGGAGCGCTCGATCCATAGACTAAGTAATGTAAGTGGCAAATTCTATCTGCTGAATAGTATTTTTCTTATATTCTTACCTTTTGTTCCAGATGTTTTATTTTCTCATTGTTATGATTTTGTGGACTACACTCTATCTGACAGAATTTGCTTGTTGTTCCTTTCTTTCATTCTATTGCTTAAAGTTCAAGATATAGAATGAATTCTCTTCAAATTTTATCTATATATTTGAGCCTTTTGAAATTTGGGTATGTATGGGTATTTCAAATGCTTTAGATGTGAAACTTATGTTTTGGATGACTGTTATAGAAGAACCAGCTCTAGAAATGGTTTATTTCAACAGCTTTATGATAAATTCCATCTGTTTGCTTTAGGAGAACTGTATATTGATAGATGAATTCAAACAGAATCTGTCAGATTATTTTTTGTTATTTTAGCCCATATATTTTCTCTCTTTCTTTCTGGAATGTCAATACTGTGTTAGTTTCAAGAATTTTGGCTTCTACTCTGAAATTTGATGCTTTATGTGTTTTTTTTTTAGTGGTTGCGGAATACCCATCGGAAACCTTTGCTTGCAGCTGTGGAGAAAATGAAAGAAGGTATTTTCCAAGTCCTAAATCCAACATCACGAGCTACAGAAAGTTCTTTTTGGTCTTTTGGTTACACTTGATTCTTAGTTCCCTTCCTTTCGCATATTTTTTGTGATTTTTATTCACAAGTATTGTTTTGTCCTCATCTTCAGAGTTGATGCTGCTTGGATTCATATCACTTCTTCTAACAGCTACCTCAAGCACCATAGCCAATATTTGCATTCCATCAAAGTTCTATGATGGTACTTTTGCTCCTTGCACTAGGTCTGAGATTGATGAGGAAGCTGAGGATAATTCTTCCCAGGGACGTAAACTATTGATGCCTACTGTTTTTCCTCATCCACTTCGAAGAATGTTAAATGGTTTGGATCGGAATACCTGCAAAGAGGCATGTCATTTATCTATATAAATCATTGCTGAGGATCTTGCTCGAATTATATCTGTGGTGTCTGCTGTATTTGAATTTTCAACAGTGTATTGATAACATTGATTTATCATGGCATTCATTTTCTCAATGATAATCATTTAGAAAGGGGATTTACTTTTTTGGTCACTTTTAGAATGCAATATGCTATTCTAAAAATGGTTTGATGTGCAGGGACATGAGCCGTTTGTGTCATATCAAGGTCTTGAGCAGTTGCATCGCTTCATTTTTGTCATGGCAATCACACATATATCTTACAGTTGCTTAACAATGTTGCTGGCGATTGTGAAGGTTAAGCATTTTTTTTGTACTCCATTATAGTTGTTGCTTTCCATAATGGATGGTGATTTCGCATGCTTAATAAATTACAGAACATAGTGAAATGGAAAAGGATAAATTAAGTATTAGAGCAAGATCCGTTATGTCATTGATTCTTGTGTTTAAAGAAATAAAAATTTCAGGTTTGTTTGTTAGATGGAAAGGAGTTTGTAAATTTTGTTCCAGGTATGCATTCCCTGTTGGTTGAGAGATTTCAATTTGGTTTAAATTTGGTTTGTTCTCATGTTTTATATGGGCTTTCCTCCTAATAACTTAAACTCTTTAAGTGTGAAGCTTTAAGTTATTTTGAGACCATTTTGCTTTTTGTCGTTGCTGTTGCCCCTTGTGCTGGGCCCATGGTTGCTGCTATCTAGCATGTTGAGTGCTCTCTGTTAAGCTTGGACATCAGAGGGGTTGTCGAGTAATGTTCTACTGGACAATTATAAAGTTTGATACAACTATGAAAATAGTATACAGTTTGATCTGTTTTAATTGCCTTATATAATTCGTGATATGGGTCTCTCCACCTACAGGCATAAGCTTTGTGATTAGAAGCTTTAATGGTGTTCTCAGAAGCAACATGCTTAGTTTACAATCAGCATCTGCTGTTTCAATCTTTCGTCCTTTGTATCTAATATGTGGGTCTGTATGTTCTGTGATAAGAATATATGTGTGATGGATCATCCAGTATTTGCAAGTCGAACTTGTTTTGTCTGATGTCAAGACGACTCAAGGAGAGGAAGCTATGTTGACCATATAATAAACCAAGTTCTTCCCTTAACTATAGTTGCGTCAGAGACAAGATATTAGTTTGAGTTGTTAAACTAGAGAACCACAATGTCATTATCACTTTGGCCAATGTCTAACATTGTAATTGTTTCACCAGATTCACAGTTGGAGGGTTTGGGAGGATGTGGCTCATATGGACCGCCATGATGTATTAACAGGTAAGCTTTAAACAGGAAAGTGGTTTTGGATACATTTAAATGTTTAAAGGTTAGTAAGTGTTGACTAATTCTTTTTGCCTAATTCAGTTATTTATTTATTTATTATTTATTTTTTTTGGGGGTTTGTGTTGTGGGGGGGGGGGGGGGGGGGCACTGTGGGTGCTTTTTATTTTGGTGAAATGTTAAATTTTGATTTGGACAATATAAAGGTTTATTTGGTTATGGAAACTGAAGACTAACATGAAGTCACTAAGGAGCCTGACGGAAGGTAGAATGGAAGATGGTAAATGGAAAAGATATTACTTTGGTTCTTGGTTTCTCATGTGAGCACTCATCCTGATAGCAGAAACATGACCAATCTCTATAGGCCTGAGCTTATCATTAAATGTCTGATGCAGCTCAACATGTCTATGATATGTTTTCCATAATTAGTGTGATCAATAAGCTTTACTTTGCAAGGGATACCTTCACCTTCCAATCATTTAATAGAAAATACTTATTTTTAGAAATATTATTATATGACAGAAAGCATGACTTAGTAATTTATTCTGTAACAGAAATCAATAGAGAGAAGACATTTCGAAGGCAAACAACCTTCGTAAGACATCATACATCAAGTCCTTTGGTCAAGAATAGCTTTCTTATCTGGGTGGTAGGTACAAAACTCTCTTTCTTGCTCTTTACTGCTTTCTGTGTTGTAATCCATGCTTGCGTGATGTTCACTGTAATTCTGTGATTAAATTAGAGCTATGCCATCAGTCCTTGTTTTGTTTCGATCTTCATTAGAGTTTCATTACTAAAGAGACAATATTGCAATTTTACTTTCACAGTATTATCTTCATGTCACACACTTGATCCAAATCAAGTCTTGTATCTATCCTATGTGTTCCACTGCGTAAACAATCTTGTAACTGACCAAATAAATAAATATGGATTATTGAAATTGCTCTTGGATATTTATGAGAATCAGGCTAGTTGTTCTTATGTTACAATAAGGTTTCAAGGTCATATATGGTAGAGGGGCAAAAAAATACGAAAAAAGAAATTTTTTTGTGTAAAGAAGTCTTTATTTTATGAGAACAGAATCCCTCTGAAACTGAAGCATGGGCATTTACATCTGAAGCTTCTTTGTTATGGGTTTTGAGATGCTCATGTTTCTTCTTACATGAAGGTTTAGGAGGGGGCTTTAGTCAATGTCCTCTTTTCTTTTTATGTCTGTTGACAGCATACTGTTTAGTCTTGTTAGTTTCCTCCTTTCTTTCTCCACTGTGTTATCATTTTAATGCTATTATTTGAAATAATATCTGTTTATATTTGTTTGTCAATTTTTTTGGTCCGGATGATAATTTCTGTTGAAGTTGCTAGTTTTATCAACTTGCAGACATGTTTCTTCCGGCAATTTGGGCGATCAGTGGTTCGCACAGACTACCTTACTCTTCGCAAGGGCTTCATCATGGTATACTTTGTTCTTATCCATTAGTCCATACTTAAGTGGAAGTTTTAATTTTCAAAGTCCATACTTAAGTGGAAATTTTAATTTCAAATAGCATTTACAACATAGAAAGGTGCATAAAGGAAGTTTTAATTTTCAAGTAGCATTAAGAATATACTATAAATGCAAAATATAGCACTCTCATGCAGTTAGGAATTCAATGGTATGGAAGGAAGGCAGGACTTGTACTTGGGTTTTTTTTTTTTTAAAAAAAAAAAAAAAAAACAAGAAGATAATGTAGTAACTATACAGGGATAAATAAACTCATGCGTTAAAAAAAAGAAAAGAAAAGAACATAATAAAAGAGAGACCATAACAGATGGATATTATGTTGTGATGGAATATTTTGAAACAAGTCCCAAATTATGGTAGATGGCATATTTTTTGACTCCAGATTAACTTATTTTGATATGTAAAATGAGATTTGAATAGGATTCAGATCCAAATTGCTTCTTTGCTGATAGATTGGTGGTAGTATTAGTGATGCTTTATTAACAACATCCACCCCTTTTGTTTTCTTTTTTATGACAGAATCACAACCTCTCATTGAAATATGATTTTCACAGCTACATGATTCGCTCTATGGAAGAAGAATTCCAAAGAATTGTTGGTGTGAGGTAACATCTATACACATTGGATGTTTGTTGTATTTTTTGGTCATTCATTTGCATGATTGAGCTAGGAGAAATTGGACCAGCTAAATGCATTTTTGTTCAATGCCTTGCAGCGGTCCATTGTGGGGATTTGTTGTTGCATTCATGCTGTTTAATGTAAAAGGTACAGCTTTGTAGGTGGAAAATGATGCTATAAATTATTTTATTTTGCAATTGCTTTTTGCTAACAATATGCAAATTTTGATGAACATATTTATGCAGTTTCTTTTGAATTATTTAGTGATACTTTTCAGTTTACTATGGCAATTATTAGCTTCAGTGATGTTCATATATTGGATTTCCCACCATATTATATATCAATTTTCGTTATCTAGTGTATGATTGGATTCTGAGTCTCAAACTTACTAAATGATGACTTGGTCCTTTCGACCGTTCTGCAGGATCCAATCTCTATTTCTGGATAGCTATCATTCCAATCACTGTAAGTGCTGGTTCTTTTGAGTATCAGTTTTATCAAACACTGAATGCTTTAAAAGGAATTTTATTAGGTAGTAACACAGGTATGCAGTAAGAAACAGACACATGAGGACAACTGGTTACTCGTAACAAATTTTCTATCTAGAGTGAATAAAGCTTTACATACTTAATGTAATTCTATTGGCTTTTTCTGATGTTTCATATCATGGGTAGCTTGTCCTTCTGGTGGGTGCAAAGCTACAGCATGTTATTGCAACCTTGGCATTAGAAACTTCTGGCCTAACTGGACACTCTATGGGAGCGAAGCTGAAGCCTCGAGATGATCTTTTCTGGTTCAAGAAGCCTGAACTATTGTTGTCTTTGATCCATTTTATTCTGTTCCAGGTAAGCAATGCTCACCATGATCAGTTGCTCAACTTAAAATGGTAACATATACCATTCTTTCAGTTCCTTCTTTCCTAGAAATTTGTTTATGGTTTTGTGCCAAAGTACTAGAACTGACATTGCATTCCTTTCTTTCTCTGAAATTTCATTACAGAATGCATTTGAATTGGCTTCGTTCTTTTGGTTTTGGGTACCCACTCTTCCCTGACTTGATTGGTATTCATTGGATTGCAAGAGTTCACTTTTTTCCGTTCCTTCTTGACTTCAACCAAGCTCAAATTTTATTATACACAGTTTCTGTGATTTGGTTGAACAAAAATCTCACGTTTTCGTGGGTTTTTGTTGATTCAATGTTTACTAAATCCATTTGAGAAACATCTGGAAAGTACTTAAAGAATGATAATCACAGACCAGAGAAATTGCAAATGGGGAAATAAGAAATTTCGTTTCGTTTCTTAATGAGATGTTGAATCTGTACGTTGAACTAATCTATCTTTTGTTGATAATTTACAGTGGCAATTTGGGTACAGATCATGCTTTATTAGGAACCATTTGGTTGTGTACGTTCGACTTGTTTTGGGGTATGCATACATTAGAGCTCGTTGAGACTTTCTTGAGGATATATCAGCTTTTTCAGCTAAGACATCATTGTATTATCTTGTAGGTTTACTGGGCAGTTCCTCTGCAGCTACAGCACCTTGCCACTATATGCACTGGTTACTCAGGTATCATGTTCTTTGGGAAATACTTCTCTCTAAGGAAAAGTACTGTTCAATTTATATTATCTGCAAGAAAATACTGATGCATAATATTCTAGTCAACAAATACCATGGGCAAGACATTAGAAATACATAATCTACTGTTAGCTAGTTTTAAATTGTATCATATGCAGATATACCGCAACTTCCAGGTATAAAGACTCTTGACTACCTATATAGCCTTTCAGCCTAATGGCATATGCCAGCTGCATGTGTCTCTATCCCTGGGCTTATTGTTGAACCCACCACAGCATCTGAAACATAGAGAGAAGACACTTACGGATATATAGCTATGTATGCAGTGTATATAATACAGTAGTTATGTAAGTATTAACTGGCAATTAGATGGATGGATATGTCCAAGTAGGATGGGTGAAGTTTCACATGACTATGTTTATGCAGTATTGTGAAAGCACCTAGTTTATGCGTGTACCCTTGAACTTACCATCTGAGTTGATAAATATGAAAAACCATACCGGCCATGGAAATCTTTTCAAAAATCAACATTGCTGATGCCAATAAATTTTGGCAGACTGATTTGTCAGTCACCAAGTCTTAATTTTTTAGTTTTAATTTCCTCCACTCTTTTCTTTTTGAGAGCAATGCTGTGGTGTTGTATCACAATTCATCACAAAGAAAGGGTTATGGAGCAAAACTCATATTTTACTAGACATGAGCGTAAGTCAATAAGTTGAGTCCTCTAAATTGCTCTGAATTTTTTATGGCGTTAAATCATCTCTATCCTCTTGTGAGTAGAACAAGCCCCCTCTTCCAAATTAGTAACATGAACCATGCTTGAGCAGGTTTTCATTGGGTTAAGATGGTAGTATTATACCATTTTTTTTTTTTTTGTTCAATAATTTTCTGATTATTATTAGCCTCATTTAATGTTCCCTCCCTTTTTCCAGATGGGAACAAACTATAAGGCGGCATTAATTCCACAAAGAATAAGGGAGACAATCCATGGGTGGGGGAAAGCAGCTAGGAGGAAAAGGAGGCATGGGATTTACACAGATGATTCTACTATACACACAGACACAAGCACATTAATGTCACTTGAGGAAGATGATAATCAGATGCTTGATATTCCTGAGAATGATGCTGGTCCAGTCACTCAAATTGAGTTGCAGCCAGCTTCTTTTATTTCAGTTAGTCCTGGCCCAGTTGCCGATGAAACTTCAAGTAGGGCTGGTACTCCTCTCCTTCGACCCTCTGCTTCTGTTTCTTCATCAGAAAAATCGAATTCTCATGTGGAAGGTATTCTTAGATCATCTTCTATGCCGGTTAGAAGGTGATATATTGGCGGTATTCTGTTGTCGAATTTAGGCTTTGTAGGGATCTTGTAAAGTACAAGGGAAAAAAATAGAAAGTAGAAATTGCAAGAATAAGTTAACCCTGTATTTTGTGCAATTCCCTTTTTCCCTCGTTATTTCCAGGATCGAACTAAAGTAGGTACTCTTTTCTGAGCACATGTGGTATTTGCCAATATCGTATTAAGTCTCATACTATACTTTTAGGATTTGAGTCGTAGCATGAGTACATAGAAGGAAATCAACACATTAGCTTAGTGTAATAGAATCTTGCTCTTTTGTAATATTAACTTACAGGAAATAGAAATGATGCAAGTTCATGTATTGGACAAGTTATTATGAATTGATCTTTGTAATGTATTATGCTTCCTATGGAACCAAACCAGCTTCTAGCGTTCTTTTTTTATCTTTTGGTTTTTGTTTTTTTGTTTTTGTTTTTGTTTTTGTTTTTTTTTTTTTTTGGTCTTTTTTTCCCTGAAGAGACAAGACGATGCTTTAAGGTAATAAGACTGGATGATTATCTTTATTTCCCCCAATGTGCTATGATTTTCTTTCTTCTATATTTTTTAGGTAATTGATGTGTCTCAGGCTGATTTTACTTCATATCTATCTTATTTTCTATTGATAGCAAGCAATGGTCAACTCAATTTCGTTGAACGTTTAGTTATGTCATTTTTATCTTCTTAAAACCATCTTTGATTGAGATTTGAGAGCGAGTATTCAAAACATTTGAGGAAAGAAACTGAGCTTAGTCTTGAACTCCATTTCAGTTTTGTTTGACGAAGGTAGAGACTGTTTGCCCTAATACTGGTTTCTGCACTGTGCTCGACCATGCAATTCTTTATTAGCAACGTGCCCATGTTCTACATGACTCTGTAGCTGCAACGATGGATTGGTGAGCCTCATGTGAAATCCATGTCTCTGAGGCCGCAAGGATGGACTCATGACTCTTGTACGGACTCCATGGCTCTGAGGTCGCAATGATAGACTCGTGAGTCCCATGCGAACTCCATGGCTCTGAGGTCGCAATGATAGACTCGTGAGTCCCATGCGAACTCCATGGCTCTGAGGCCGCAATGGACTTGTGAGCCTCGCGTGGACTCCACAGCTCCATGGCTACACCAGCCTCGTGTGGACTCCACAGCGCTGTGGCTGCAACGACGGACTCATGAGCTTCTTCCTAAGCGACCTCTTCTCGGGCTTCATTGTTGGCATCATCATTTGCTTTTGATGCTGACTGCTGGTGTAACCATTGCTTATTTGACCAAACCCTGTACTGATTCCTGGTACTGTGTTGTCGCGGCTACCACCATAACCTATTCCAATCCCATAGCCATAACTGGGAGATCCCGGGGAAGTACCAACTCCATCATTGGCAGAATAAGAGTCAGCGAAAGGGCGGTAAAATGCTGTTATCACCATTTCCAGATTGGGGAAGTCCTGGGATTAAGGCACCAGCTGAAACCAATTCCATAACCAAATCCTGATCCATCTTTTCCTAGGCGATATCCATCACTCCCAGATACTGGCCCCACTCCATCAGAGGCAGACCCAATTCCAACGTCCACTCCACTCGATCCGCCGCCACTGCCAAACCCAATACCTTTTCCAGCCCCAGTAACGTCAGAACAATCATGGCGTTTTTGGTCCTTGGTGTCCAAAAGGAACCTGCGAGCAAAATGGAAGCTAAAGCATAGCATGACCAAGAAATTCGCGTAGGCACTGTTTAATATAAACGTTTTGGTTTTGTTTTGTTTTGATTTGATTTGATTTGATTTGCTATGAATGGCATTGGCAGCAAATCAAGTATTGGATTTCTATAGTGAGTGAAACTAAATCGGTTTTGGTAAATGTAAAAAATCACAAAAAATGGGTCCCTATATTCTTCTTGCAATTCGGAGCCATAATGCTTGTGTGAATGAGTAAGGAATTAAGCTGCGCAGTTCCTCCGCAGATGCAGATACAGCACCTTGCCACTATATATGTAATCCTACTGGAAATTATAATAATTGACCTGCAGTATATATAGTTTGTTTCGCTTTCCTATTCCATGGATGCATCCTCGAATTAACCTTTAAGTACTGGTCATAATTATAAAAAACAAGCCATAGCCGGAGAGGAAAGCATTTCCAACGCCAACATCTTTGAAGTTCATAAATTTTTATTGACTGATCAGTCAGCTAACAAGTTTTAAAACTCTTAGATCTCTTAAAATCTCTCTATTTGACGTGTCATACTGTATTGTTGCATCCACATTTTTATGTAGCAGTTGCAGTTGCAATAACCGCAAATGGATTGCGATAAAGAACATGGATTTTAATGGTTAAAACATTACGATTGTGTTTATTGTTGTTGTGAATCATTTAGCAACTCGTCACATTTTTTTAATAATACAAATTAATTTGATGATTTATTAAACAAACCAAATAATAGCATATATATATATATATATATATATATATATTCAATGATAATACTGGCATTATAAAAATAAACTTGATTCATGACTAATACAAGTGTTAATAACAAATAAAATTTTAATTTAACCTAACTTTAAAATTATTATTCAAAAATTTATTATAATAAAATTATGATTTAGTTAGGGTGAAAGAAAAATTCACTTATAATTTTTTTTTTTTTTGGATTCCGAAAGTATCCTAGGCTTAGGCCCAATCTGATCTCTTGTTGTTCGGTTGAATACACAAGACAGATACAATTACAAAAAAAGTTTTTTTCTTACATAGAAACTTAAATCCGAAATCACTTGCTTAAATGATTAGAGTTCCTTCAACTCAAGCCAACTTTCTTGAGTAAAAATTCACTTATAATTTTTTTGAACAAGAAAAGAAAAATAAAAACATTATTGAATACTTTATATTATATAAAATAAAAGAAGGTATAACAATAATTCTAAAAGTAAGTTGACTTATCACTTGAAAGCATATAGAAAAAAATAGATAAAAAAAAATGTATCAATAGGTTTATTTATAATAAACCATACACAAGATCGATCCAAAATATATTCTAATCCTTTAGGTTTAAGTAAAGGCAAATAGCAAATCTATAACTTCTGCAGCTCGCTTCCTTCCTTTATTGTTCTTCTTTTTCTCTGCAAGACACTTTTGTTTGTTTTGACAACAATTGTTCCCGGTTTTACCCCTTATCTTCTTTACCTTTTCTACGTGGAAAACATCTTTTTATCTTTCTTCCTCCAAAATTGATTCTCCTTCTGAATTTTTTCTTCGAGTTTCAATTAAATTTGACAAAAGATTGAAGCTTTCAAACACAAATTTAAATATCAATAGAGATACAAAGATAACAACATTATTTTATTCTTTTTTAAATAATGGGTATAACAACTATTAAATAACGTTAGGGGTTGTTATACATGTGAAACACCTGTCTCTTATCTTATAACGCCACAAAATGGTCAAGGATAGTGTCAATTCCATTATAAAACAACCATTAGTAAAGGATGTTTTTTAAAACTATAGTTGCATCATAATCTATCAATGGGCGAGCCTTAGGAGTAGACATGGTATTGGTTCGGTTCGAATCGTAAACCAAATCGAAACCAAACCGTTAAAAAATCAAATAGAGATCGCTAAAACCGTAACCTTGATCAAACCGGACAAGAACTCAGGTTACCTACGGGTTGGTTATGGTTTAAGGTATCATGAAATCGAATCGACGGTTAGCCGTGGAACCGAAAGTTTCACATTTTTCCTAATAAATTTGGATTGGGTCGAAAAAAAACAAACAAATTTAAATAAAAAGACCAATTTTATATGGGATGGACAATAGCTATTGGACTGAAAAATGAAAAAAAAAATTAAGCCTAATAATTTTTAATTTTTGGACTTAATATATATATATAAACCGAGTATGTGACAAACGGTCACAAAAAAGTGACCGTTTATAAAACGGTCACAAACATTTGTGACCATTTTCTATTTTTTTCTTTTTCTTTTCTTTTCTTTTCTATAAATACCCTCTCACTCTCAATTTTTTTTATTCTTCTCACAACTCAATCTCTCATTCTCTCTCAATCTCTTAAACTCTTAAGTCTAGAATTCTCAATACTATCCTATAATATTTTTTATACTCCAAATACTTCTTAAATTTTTACATTTCTATTGTTTTATACTACAAAAAATGACAATTTCAAGTTCACATATGCCATCACAACAAAGTAATACCGCCAATCAAAATCGAGCCGGGAGCAACAACAACAATCAAATTTTACACCTAGATCATCCGATATCTTCAAAATTTATTTCTCAAAAGTTCCATTAGAAAAAGGCGTTTTTACTATGATTTGCAACTACCGCAACAAGCAATACACATTCAAACAAGGAGGTGGTTATGGAACATTCAAAACCCACTTGAAGAAAAAACATCCATCCGTACTTGGTAATGATAGACATCGGACACAAATATCCGAGTTTGCTTCTCAATCTTCCTCTTTATTTCAGTATACTAATAAAAAAATAAAGAAGAAATGGCTCAAATGATATGTGTTGATCATTTATCTTTTAGTTTTGGTCAAAAAATGGGTTTTAGTGATTATTGTTCTAACGCTTTGAATCCTCGCTTTCAAACAAGTTGAAAGACATTCTTTAAAAAAAACAGTTATAAAATTATATAGAGATAAAAAAAGAGAATTAACTGTATTATTTGCAAATTTGAATGGTCGTGTTTCTATATGTTCCGATATATGGTCCGATCAATGGCAAACTCACTCTTTTATGGGTGTAACTTGTCATTGGATTGATAATGAATGGCACATGCAAAAACGTCTTCTTGCATATAGAGTTTTTGATGATAAACATACCGCTCAAAATATATATATAAAATACAAAAAAGGATTTTAGATGAATATGTTTTACCTTTAAGAATATTTTCAATTTCTTTTGATAATGCTAGTTCTAATAATGCTTCGAGTAGAGTCTTTAAGAGAACTTTGTCAACCCCATCTTGGAGGTAAGTTTTTCCATATTAGATGTGTATGTCATGTTTTAAATTTATGTGTGCAATCTTGTTTGGAATATCTTAAAGATATTGTTAGGCCAATTAAAGCTCTTGCTAAATATTTATGGACGCATCCCCAAAAGATGAAATCATGGGGAAAGTTTTACAAAGAAAGAAACAAAAAACCAAGACGATTTTCAAAAGATGTTCCAACTCGTTGGAATTCAGCTTATGACTTACTTAGGTAGTCATTTAAATATGGAGATTTATTATGCTCATTTTTTTCAAAAAATATTGATTCTGTTTTTATTTATCAAAATGATTTTGATATTTACGAACCACTTTTGAAACTTTTAAGTGTTTTTAACAATGCAACATATAATTTAGTGCCGTTTATCAACCAACTTCATATTTATTTATGATTGAATCAATTAATATTGTTGAAGCTTTTAATCATGTAGAACAAGATATGCCAACTTTACATGCTACTCGTTCAAATAATGAAACAAAAATGGTTAAGTTATTATGAAACAATTCCACCTGTTTATCTTGTTGCTTTAGTCTTTGATCCTAGATTTAAAATGGAAGGTCTTTTTGTCGTTTTGAATACTTTCTATGAGTATTTGCAATTATTTGATAAAAATGTAGAAATAGAAACTGCTTCTATTATAAAATAGGTTAGAGATTTATATATTGAAATGTCTTTAATCGTGGGTGATCAACATGTTAGTTCCTCTTTACCACCTACGCCACAATCATCATTAAGTAGCCAACGTGTTAGAGCTCGGTTATCTTATGGCCATGGAAAGGACAAAAAGGCCAAGAGGATCATCGAGCTCCACTTCGAGCTTGATATTTATCTAACAACCGTGTTTGAGTTTGGTGATAGCAATACAGGTGTAGATTTTGAAGTAATTGATTGGTGAAAAAGACATGCGGACACCTTTCCAGATCCCGTCCATAATAGCTAGACAAATACTTGTCGTGCCAACTTCAACAACGACCGTTGAAAGAGCATTTAGCTCCGGAGGTAATATTTTAGATGATAAGCGATCACAATTGGCTCCGGGTCACTTGAAGCCCAAGTATGCATGGATGATTGGATAAGAGCCGACAAGAGAACACAAGAACAAAAACAATATGATTTCAATGAAGAAAGTATGGATCTAACACTCGACGGCACAACAACGAAACTTCGAGCCGGAACTTCCGATCAAGAAAGTAACTAGGCGCAACTATATAGAACATAGATATAATTTGTAAAAGGGTCATTTGAAATGTAAAAGAGAACTACGTAAGCTTTGATTCCTCTAAACCCCAAGAGGATACGTAGGAAGCTTAATTTTTGTAGTGTTTACAAAATTAAGTTCAAGCCCTTCTTTATTTATTTCTTTTTTTTCCTTTGATTTATTGTGTGAAATACATTATAATGTAAAAAATATTATAATATTTATACATTATGCAAAAAAGAAGTTTTTTCGTTTCAATGTTCATGTTGAGAAAAAATATTCGATTTTTTTTATTTTTTCATTTAATAAAAAAACCGTTGAACCATCGGTTTCAAACGGTTTGGAACTCGTCGATTTTAAGATTTCAAACCGAAACTAGAACCGTCCACGTAAGGTTTGGTTAAGGTCTCACCTTTTGGTGAAACCTTAACCGGCGGTTCGAGAACCGTTACCGTGACTACTTAGGAGCAAACTATAAGTCATGTATTTGTTGATAAATGAAAAAGTAACTAATTAATTAAGTAGGAGCTTATACCCCACTACAAAGTAAAGAATGAACAAAATGCAAACAATCAGAACAAGAAACAAAGATTTTATTAACAAAAATTTAAGTTTTAAAGAAAGCTTTGAGTCGGCTAATGCCTTGTGCACTAGACTAGTTTTATGAAGCCTATATTTTACCATTTGAATAACGAATACCTTTTTTCTTCATTGAAATGTGTTGTTCCTCTTAGGAGTGTTCGTTCGCTTATTCGGTTCGGTTTTAAAATATTGTAGACAATTTTCAATTAATCGAATTTTCAAAAAAATAACCGAAACTAAACCGAAATATTATTCGTTTGTTATTGTTTTGAAATATTTTGATTTTGGTGTTCGGTACTTTGATTTTTTTTAATTACAAATGATTGATTTTATTAGATTTTTTGAAATCTCTCGTTCTCTCGTTTAGAGTGAGTTTCTTTTTACTTTATGGACTACTAGTTAGGAACCTAAGTTACGTCCAAAAAAAATAACAAATGCATCGATAGATAAACAAATAATAAATTTTTTACTCAATAAAGCTTGAATTTCCGACGATAAAAAAATTTACTAACGTCTTTGTTATTTTGTGTACATCCGGACTTATAGCGAGAGAAAAAAGAGCACATACGAAGTTGTGGGAGGAAACGTTTCTAGGGAAGAAGGGTTTTTCAATTTGGGGATGCACTCGAGTGATCTAGCTTAAAAAAAATAAAGATATATATATATATATATATATATATATATATATATATATAATTTTGGTTTTTCGGTTAATCGATTTTTAAAAAAAATAAATGAAACCGAACCCAAAAATCAAAATTTTTTTTAAAAAAATACACACACGTGTGTGTGTGTGGCAGGTGATCAAAGCTTGTCTTTTTATATACTGAAAGCTTAAGATAGAAATTAAATTGGAATTGGTGGTGATAAAAGCGCAAAACGCCTGCAATGGTTTGTTCTTGCAATAAGGGGCCATGATGCTTGTTTGAGAATTTACGTGTTGCAGCCGTAACACCAAACCCAAAAGACGTAGCTGGTGATTATGGCTAAATTTTGAATGCAATGTCAATTGTCATCGATTCCTATGGCTTAAAAAATGATTCCAAATAGGAACAGTCAGTGGTTATCGCGAACTAGAATGATGAAACAAGTAGGGGCTTTTAAGGACATACTTCTGGTTTAGAACGACAAGGGCAGAGTCAGATGCAATGTACCTAACAAAGCATATCACTCATAAATAACCACTGATCATATATTCCAAAACTGGGAGTCCAACTCATGCATCCTTGCTACCCTATGATTTGGGTTTTTCCATCCTCTGGTCAGCATTTGTATCGGATAAAGTCTTCTTTCCTTCAGTAAAGGACCATGTCCCTACAAAAGGGCAAAAAGGATGGTGATCTTTTTCTTAAGTTGGGAAACATTTGCCAGAAGATCTGCTACGATGCCTTGAGCAAGACTGCCTGGAAAATATACGACTCTTTGCTTCGGCTGTATAAGCTAAACGGAAGGGATATCAATTAAATGGTCATACACCGACAGCATAGCATTGCCATATTGAGGACACAATAAAAAGATTTTAGCCAGAGAATAGCAAAATTAAAAGGCTACTCTTTTATATTCCTTAGTCCGAACTCCTTAATCTGATCTACTAACATCCATCTGATGTAAATGAATTATTACCAGAGACAAACACTCGAGCTCCAAATGCCAAAACAAAACAAAACAAGAGGAAATCTTCAGCCTTTTACATGAACAGGAGATTCCTCAAAAGAAAATACAGCAACAAGTAAATGGCATTTAGTCAGATGTTTAAGCGTTGTCACCGGTGCCTGCTTCCGTGTCAATAGTCTTTAAACCTTCAGCCATCATCCGTTCTCTGTTTTGTAATTGTCTTTCAACAACAACCATATACAGGCCTAGAAAAGATAAAACCAGAAACTATCAGAACGAGGATAACCTAGAGAAAGAACAAAGCTTAGGATGCAACAGTTCCAATAAAGCAATCAGTTGCCAGTCAAACAAAAATTTTAGCAATAAATCAGGAATTGAGCCAAGAAGACATACTGACTACACTTCCAATAGCACAGGCCCAAAGAATTTTTGAGGACCATTTATCACCAATAACTCCTCGGCCTCCCATCATCAGCTGCAAAAAGCCACTAAACTGCTGAGTACATACCATTCTACACTAGTAATGTTACAGTTAATTTCGTAGAGGGCTACTTTTCTTTTCATTATTATTATTTTCATAAACACCATGATAAATGCAGGAATTGGGAACTGAGAAGCATGATCTCATAAGAAAAGGGACAAATAGAAAATTAAGAGCAGCTAATCAACTAACACTTGAGAGAAAATTATGGACTAGCAGGAAAACGGAGTGCAAGAGAGTTTTGCAATGGCTAAAAAAAGTGCTAATATTCATAAGAAAACAGATTTCTATAAATACTTGGACCTTTACCTTCAAGCATTTTGTTAACAGTACCTTGATCAACAAATATAAAACTTCACACGCTAAAAGGTGAATCAAAGGATTAATCAACTAAAACAAAAATTCCTTTTTCCCTAACTTGCCAAAATCATCCTCCAATAATCAAAAAAAAAAAAAAAAAGGCATGATTGTGGAGAAATGTGTGGGCAATTTAACATCCAAGGAGCAAATGAGCTACAAATTCCTATTTACTCATTTCAAAATACAAAATACTGATAATTGCAGAAAATTTTCATGAGACAACCCATGAATTATATTCGGCAAAGCAAAGAAAGGTTGCTACTCCTCAATCAAATATTTACCTACACTATACTTTCCTAAAAAAGAAAAAAAAATGAATAATATTCTACCACCGTCAGTAAATCTACAATAAAGAACAAAAAGCCTATATACAATTTGAGGCTTGCTAGCCTCCACTTTCTAATCTGCAATTAAGGGGGTTTAGAATCAGACAAATTCTTCATTTAAATGGAAGAATAGATCACGAATAGCGATGCCCAAGTTAAGATAACCACATTAATTAATCATTCTAAACCAGTAAAAAAAAAAAAATCAATAGCATCAAAGGTCAAGGATAGATTTTCTATGATCGAGATTCCTATACTAAATACAAAGAATTGAAATAGAACTGTTAAACGCAATCAAGAATTAATCAACTGCAACTTGGGCTAAACAGAAAATGGGTATCAAAATATAACACATCCAAAAGAAAAGGATTAAGTGGAAATGCTATCAAAACCCAACAATGCAAGGAAAATTGTAAAATACCCATTTGAATTTTGGAGCATTTCTTCATTTAGAAGAAAAATAATGTGGAGTAGAGAGAGTAAAGCACCTTGGTTTGTGAGTCGAAGCAGATTCTTCCAAGGAATTAGTAGAAGGAAGAAGATTGTCAACAGGGGTTGTGATATTAGCCCTTTTGGGTATATCCAGGGTTTTATTGTGGAGTGCAGTAAGCCAGTAACGCCAGCGCGGTTCGTTAAGTTTGGATATCGGTGAAACCTATATGTACAAAGTACGTGCCCGCTTATTAATCCCACGTGTGTCTAGGATCTTTTTTGTTCACGATGGAGTTTCGTTGATTTTTTTTATATAATAAGATATTTTTAAATCTTATTTATTATAATAAGGTAGTTTTAAATTTATTTATCAAAACAAGTACTTTATGCCACATAGAAACCATCTCATTTATGTAACTTGACATGTCATTTTTTTTAAATCATTTTGTTAAATAAATATTTTATCATCACATGTTAATATCTTCTTTTTTATTTTTTTATATTAATCTATTCTTTTTCTTCTTTTTATTCTTTTCTCATCTCTCTCTAACTTTTTTATCTATATAAAAATGAACTCAACAATTTTTAAACGAATATCAATTTAATCTCTTTCTCTCGCTTCAATTTTGCCTCATCTAACGGTGACCCAATATACAAAATCGATCAATCACAACATTAATAATACTCGAAGATGAGATATAATTAGATGAAGTTTCTTAAATTCGTTGATTACTTTATAGTTTATACAAACAAAAGAAAAAAAATAAGTAGAGATGATGATGAAAAGAAAGAACAATAGATCGAGATGATGATGAAGACATAAAGAAAAAGAATTCCTAAATTTGTGTTTGTTTGGATTATATAAATCTCCGAAGCTAAGTTTTTGGTTGCTTGAATTTTTTGCCAAAACATCAAGTTGCTGGATAATATTTTATTCATGGTCTTTAAGAAAGAGAGGGGAAGGTTGTTTTGCTTTGGCTGCAGCTTTAAGGCATCATCCTTTTCTCGGTAATAGTGATTGAATTGAAACCCAATCTGGGAAATCAAAATGGCATCTTTGTTGTCATAACCAAAATTTCAAAATTTTTTATTTTAATTGGCTATTTGTTTTCTTTTATTTTATTTGTTTTATTATCTTGATTTGTGTTATTAGTTTTCTTTATTCCATTTCACTTAATACTTTGCAAAAAAAATAATAATAATAATAATAATAAATAAATACAAAAAAAAATGTGAATTTAATATTCGGGGATGCAATTGTATTAAATTCAAAATAATTACGAGTCATTAGGGATGCAATTGAATCATTCGTAGTTCAAGGACTAGATTACATTGTACATGGACTAAGTTGACCTAGTAATAATTTTCAAGGACCAAAATTGCAAAATTACAAAAAAAAATCAAAAAAAAAAAATGAAAGAAAAAATTGTAAACTTGCACAGGAGTGGATAACCGGTCCCACTCCCGCCTTGAACTAGTTTCGGGATCTTGTCCTCCTCGCTACATGGAACCAGCTTTGGTTTCGATTGCGGGAATCGGCTTGGTTCCCAATTGCAATTCCAAATTCCGGGAGCAATTCCCTCCACTTGCAGCGAATCAATGCCATCAACTTGCAGCTGCCATTTCTCCCCTCCATGGTCAACAATTTCGACACCTCCCTCTACTCGCTCGCCAATCACCCTACTGCTCGCAAATTCCAGCAACTGCATCATCACCCAACTCTCTCGCTCGCCGACCTCGCACAGACCTGAATTTCCTCCCTCACCGGGTTAATCACCGAGCAGCTTCACCACCGCACGACCCACAACCACAATCCCATCAACCCCACTCCATATCCCGCAAAAAATCTCACACCATCATGGTGGAGAACCAAGCCACATTCACACACACACACACACACACATATATATATATGTATACGGACAAGCAAGATATAAGAGGGAGGGGGATTTCGATCCGAAAAAGAGGGGCGGGAAGTCCACAAAAATTAGGAGCCCGAAATTGAAAGCAAAAACAGCGAAGAACAAAAAATGAGCAAGTAGTAAAAATCCAAAAAAGAGAAACAAAAGTTACCTTTTGAAGCATCAATCCACATTCGGCTCCATCCTTTTAGGTAATCAATCCAATTTTGCTTTGAATTCGGATTTCTTTTGTTTGTTGATTTAGGTTAGTCCCGAATTTTGGGGATTTTTGAAATTGACTTGAAATAAGGGTTGGTAAGGACGAATTAAACTCAATTGGAGTTTCAATTTGGGGCTTAAACCCCAAATTGAAGTCGAATTGATTTCAACTCGGTGTAGGGTTCTTGAGTTTTTTTTGACAACGAAATTGATTTGGGTTTTTTTGATTGAGTAAGGAAAAGAAGGAAAGGAAGGAGAAGAGAAAGAAAGAAAAGGGAAAAATTAAGTCGCCATGGATGAACCTCCACCGGTTCGTCCATGGCGGACCCAAAAATCGAAAGGGAGAGAAAAGAGGGAAGAAGAAGAATAAGAAAGAAAGGAAGAAAAGAAGAGAAGAAAAAGGGGGGAAGTATGGACGAACTCGTTCTTGTTCGTCCATGCAAGATCCAAAGCAAAAAGAAAAAGAAAAAGAAAGGAGAAAGAGAGAAGGAAGAAGACGGGCAATAGAGAAAGAGAAGAAAAATGAAAAATGGGTTTTTGATCTAAAACTCTTAAAAATATAGTTTGGGTTATGTTTTTGGGTTAAACCCAACCCATTTGGTCAAGTCGGACTGTCCATGCCGACTCGAAATTTTGGGTAGATCGGATGATCCGCCCAAAAAAAAAAAAAAAGTAAGAAAAATGAGTAAATTTTTCTTATGGATTTTTGTTATTTCATATTAACATTATTTATTGAATTTTTTTAATTATTTTAATTAATGTAATTTTGAATCTGGAATTTATTTTATGCATGCTCGTTATCAATTTAAATTTCGGTTGATTTCTTTTATTTAATTCATGTAGCTTTCAATTTTTTATTTTTTTAGGTTCAGTAAGTAACAAGTAGAAGATTGTCAAGTCTCCTAAGTTTTTAGGGACCGATGACAATCTTTCATAAAAAAATAATAAAAAAATAAAAATAAAAAATAAAAATCATAAAACTTTTTAACAAAGTCTCCTATCCGATAGGGACCGTTGTTAGCCAAAATGTTTTCCAATAAACAAGTGTTCTTCGGCACATCGGTTGTGTCGAGACTCAAAAAAAGTGGATCCGATGTTTGAACCGACGTGTCTCCCGACGGAAGGGGTCCGACGATCGTTTTAATACGATGCCACGCTAAAAAATATAAAAACTTAATTTGACTTGAAATTGGAGTCTCAAAAAGAAAAAATAATTTGGCAAAAATAAAATACTTTAGGAGATAATTTGGGACTAAGTTAGACGTGGTACCTTTCTCAAGAAAGGGCACTTTTGGGTGATTAATTATCTTCCCATAAGCGTAACCAACTCCTTACCATAGAATTTCCGAACCGATGCCAATTTTAGGTTCCTAGTTCCTTCAATACTAAGTGGCGACTCCAAGCCCTACAAATAGTTCCGCAAATAAAAATCGATACATTGAGAGTCGTATTATATATCATTTTATTTTAAGGAGTCTCGTCCGACGTCGGGTAGCGATATTTGTGATGCTATAATTCTTCACTTTCTTCTTCTCTCAATGGAACGGTGTCTTTCCCTTGATCGGCGACAAAAGGATGTTCCAAAAGCCTCTCGGCAGTCCATCATTGTGTAGGATCCTTAACAAAACACCGACACAAAATCTTTGCCTTCTTGGGACAAACCTTTTGGCATTGTTGGCAATTTATCACCTTCTCCGATTCTAATCAACAAAACAAACGTATTGGCTCTCGACTTGCAATTCCACTATCAGCACCCAATTGCTCGACAAGCTTTATTTAAATTTAAGGCCAA